CCGAGCTTGGTCCCGATCTTGCCAAGCGTGTCAGCGCAGCAAGATTACGCGGCATAACTCTGAACCTCTGGGCACCTTTGAAATACCATCTGGCCGTTTCATATACGTACACACGGACATCGTTGGTCCGTTACCGGTTTGTTCCGAGTATCGTTACTGCCTGACGGCAATTGATAGGGTTACCAGATGGCCCGAAGTTTGGCCCATGTATACCGCTACGACAGAGGAAGTTGCTGACACCTTCACAAGGGAGTGGGTCCCTCGATTCGGCGTGCCTTCGCTAATAACAACTGACCGAGGAGCTCACTTTGAGTCCGATTTGTTTCGCCGTCTTATGCAGAACTTTGCCACCAAACGCATTCGTACCACTGCATATCATCCGGCTGCGAACGGCATGATAGAGCGCGTCCATCGGCAACTTAAGGCCTCTTTAATGTGTCACGAGAATTCGTGGATCAAAGCCCTTCCCTTTGTCCTTTTGGGAATGAGAACGGCTTTCAAAGAGGACGTTAAGGCCACAGCCACCGAAATGCTCTATGGCGAAACTCTACGCCTGCCTGGTGAGCTGTTAGTGCCTGTTCCTGGCCCTGACAAAATTGAAGACGCATCAGACTTTATTACTCAATTACGCCGTCGCATGTCCAATATTCGACCCGTCGACGCCTCTCGACATTGCCAATCCATGCCCTTTATATTTAAAGACATTGCCAATACCACTCACGTGTTTCTAAGGGATGACGCTGTTCGGCGTCCCTTACAACCCCCATACACCGGACCTTATCTGGTACTCAACCGCGCTGACGACGGTAAGACCCTTACCATCAATTTCAAACGCAAGCCGATCGTGGTAAGTATCGACAGAGTCAAACCAGCTTTTGTTGAAAATGTAGTTTCGGATCAAACTAGGACTGTCCAGGCAAACTGTACTGCCTCAGGCTGACAATATGCCTACTCAGCCTGCTTCAGCCGCCCCTGTACCTTTTCCAAAGGACTCTTCTACATCGACTCAGCAAACTCCTTATGTTACCCGATCCGGCAGGCGTGTTAGATTTAAAACTTTCGACAAATTTTTTTTTTAGTTAACTTTGTCTTTTTCTTGAGCTTGAACACTATTGGCTGTCAGTTTCTCGTGTCTATGACATTCATTCTGTTAGCTTGCTGCAAAATGGATACTGTAACAATTGGTGATTGTATATAAAGTTAAATATAAATCTTATTTCTGTGAGACACATACGGCAGTTTTATTGACAACAACACGTAAATAAACTGGTGAACTGGCCACCCTGATTGCCGGCCTTACGACACTAAACCTATCTATATATTACTATCCTACATATTTTAGAAGATAGCATTATGTACTGCGCGATCGTTTTTTCTGTAACCACCATAACATAGTCGGTTTACCACGGTTTTTCACCTTCTAATGACTTTTATTAAATTATCTCGTTAATTTTCGTTAAAACTTAAACTACTGAACTAAGCAACTAATTATTGATATAACATCCACACACAGGTTTATCGACGGCCAAATAAATCTGTGTGCTTTGTGACCGTGAACGGGGAGAGCTACATTTATTATAACTTATTAATTACGTACAAGCGTACGTAGATGTCTTATTCAAAGTGTTAGGACGTGTTGAAGTGTTTTCATACTTAATTAAATAATCTTTAAACGTTGCATTATTTTAGTTTTTTCATTGCCAAACAAATTAAAACTAATTAATATGAAGATGTGTACAAAAGATGGTTAGAATCCACTTACCCGTTTTATTTATCTCGAATAACTTTGCAGCAGAAGAAAATACAAAATAAGTTGCATCATTTACGTCGTCTAGATAAGTAATTATTTAGCTTATATTTATTTCAATATGCCAATTACCCTATAAAAACTATAAGTGAAACAAATAGAGTTGTGTAGCTCCTGAGTGAGTGATATAAAAGATATATATCATTCACGACGATAAAATGTATCACTCACTCAACCTTGCTCCGAATATATCAGTAACTCAGTACTAGCTCACTAGATCACTAGCTCAACGACGCCGATCTTTGTTTCATGAGCGAGTGAGACTAAAGACAAATGAGTGATAAATGAATGATGATGGTTGAGTTCACGGAAGTTTCTTTATGCAAAATGTACATTAGTTTTATAGCATCAAAGTTTAAAATTACTTAAGAATTAAGCTTGCCAAGTACAAGGAAAATCAAATTATGTATGATCTCTATTATACAACCTAAAAAAAGTACAAGAAATAATTTCTTATTTTCAATTATTATATAAAAGGCTGTTAATAATTATGTTATCTTATCAAAATGATTAATTTTGTATTAAAAAAAAAAGGTTAAAAATGTAGTCTCAAAAACTGAATTTAATATGATATAAAAATAAAGAAAGATTTGTATGGCGAGAGAGGCTTGAAGTGAGTGATATACGAGTATACTGAGCTAAACGATCTAGATGAAGAAATGAATTAATTGAGAGACCAATCAATTGAATCGGATCAATGAGCTAGTGAGCTAAATGAGCTAGTGAGCTAGATGAGTGATATATATCTTTAGAGCGAAATGATATGTATCAATCTTTTCAGCTCACTGATACATTTTGCGCATCACTAGAAACAAATTTAAAAATGTGCGTTACAATTACAGAAGTTGGGCAACTAATTACCTACAACATTTAAATGACTATTTTCGACATTATTTTGTTAGGGTAACGCACACATTATTAACATAACCGGATGGCGCAGTGGTTTGTGTAACGGACTGCTATTCCAAAGGTCGCGGGTTCGATTCCCACAGAGTACATTGTAATATACTGAAACTGTTACTGTTCGATTCCCGCTCAAGTCAAACATTTATGTCAAACATTAAATGATATAATTTAATGTTTTATTTTGAAACAAAACAAAAATGAATATTACAATTTTCATGACTGAAAAATAGTCTTGCTCTGCCCTTATCAAGAGCCATGAGTGGCGCTAACTCAGAACTTGATTTACTCTTGTGACTTCTTATTTAAGGGTAGTAATTAAAACCATTTAAGTATGTACCTACGAATCTCACAATTATAAATTAAAAAACTTCAAAGAATATTGAATTAATTTATTTTACATTACAAATCCCATTTGTATAACATTCATGTAGTATATTACTTGCATAAAGGATAAAAATTGATTTTTGAAACAAAGATTAAAGCATTTAATTATGTACAGTCAGTACTGAACATAACAAACCCTCACTATATTCCACCGTAGGTTTCCAAAAATAAGTTGTAATAATAATATTTCAAAACTATTTAACCTACTTTATACTCAATCATAGTTAATGAAACAGAATGCCTAGAAGGGTTTTGGAATGGATTGAACATTGGGTACATCAGAAAGCCAATTCTCATGATAAAAGTTCAGTCAAAATTCAGTAGCGATCAACTCTCGACCTCACAATTGTCATAAAAGGTATTTTCGTTGTAAACTATTATGTAAAGTATTGAATCAGATAATTCATTAGGTAGGTACCAAAAATAGTCAAAGTTGTTAAATCATAAACAGAGAATGTTTCAAAATATTTGAGAAAACTGATTTAGAGACAGATGAAAATCCTGAATACTACTACAAACTTTTCCTGATGCTTCATTAGACCCAAGGAAAAAACATCATTTTTCCTTAATTTTATGTTCTTCAATTATTGTAAAGTAGGTACATCTACCTACTTTACAATAATTGAAGAACATAAAATTAATCAAACTAGACTCAACTTTAGACAGTGTTGCAGATACAGTAAGTAATATGAAAAACACCAAAGACAAATCTTATTACATGATTTTAGGAGATTGATCTCTATTTTTTTGTATATTTCTACTAATATGTACCTAACATTATTGTTAGATACCTATTTACTATCTTAGGTTAGATAAACATACATGTTCAGTGTAAATGTAAATTAATTGAGAGTCCTGACTGCATAACTTTGGCTGTTAACACCATTATAATTCATGCGCGAATATGTGAATAGAATGCGTATGTAGTATGTTCTCCAGGTAAAATTTTATTGGCATTGATAAGTATGTGATGGCTCGGTTCCAATGTCAAATGATATCCTACTAAATTAAGATACATGATTTTATGCTATTCTAAGCAAATATTAAATATGATAACCACTGGCATTATCCTAAAAAAAATAGCCTGGAACTATAATTAATGAAGTATATATTTATTTATTATTTAACAAAAAGTTTGTTTCGGTTGTGCATGTGGAAAAAACTAAACATGACATAATATTACAGTCTTGGAAATTTTAATAATATTTCAATGCCTCTTTACATAAATTAACTCTAAGAAGAATAGTACCAATTTTTATGAAAAAAACAAATTACGAAGCACTATAAATTGTACTTTTTGTGAATACTTTACTTTTAAGGCTGGAGAAGTTTGCCTGTTAATTTGTTTGTTACAAGTTGTTATTTACACAAGTTGTTTTATTCAACAAATATAACAGGATTTTCATTGTAACAGGAAAGGCAAATAATTACGCCTTACATCGGGGAAGCTTACAAGGTGAATTGTTATTTCTCTATGGGCTGTGTTGTCTCATAATAAAGCATTAAAAAGCTTAAATATATATTCATATTTAAAATGTATAACCAAAAAGTGCTTCATTTTGCTTTAGATGAAGGCAACATAGTATTCATAAAAGTATTTTTTCCAAATCATTATAGATGATTATAGTATGCACATAATTTTGCAGCCAACTGACACATGAAATTAAATATCTTTGACAGGTTTGTAAAATAACTTACACTAATATAATAATGAGGACCCTTAAAATCTTTTACTATTGTTAAATCATTTATTGTACCTCAAGGTTTCTGCCCAAAATGTCGTCTGACTGATACTGTTGTATTACATAACAACCATTCTGATTGTATTAATATATTATTGTTTCTTTTCACTGAGATATTAAAGGTCTCAGTATTGCATCTACATTAAAGTAAATAGACTTCATCAAGCCATTACAACAACAAAGAATATGAAAAAAAATATCAATACACCAAAAACTTTAAACATTAATGCTCTGTTGCCTGTGACACTTTGAAAATATTTCATTATTTCTCTATGGCCTGCTTCAACATTCATTTCAGCTTCTTGAATGTTTGCATCAATTCTTCCAATGGCTTCATCTTGTTCTTTAACCATGTGGGCTAACTGCTGAAATATTCCTCCTAACTCTACAATAGTGCTCTCGATGTTATGCATGGTTTCAGCTCTTTGTTGCACATAACTGTCTGAATCGTCTCTCAAAGCCAACTGTTGTGTTTGCATACTTGATGTTTCTCCTAAATCAATACTTACATCATCTTGTTGTAAGAGGGATGGCACTTCTTTCACTAAAGGTGCCACTCTCGAAAACTGTTCACGCCTGCTATTTTGATGTTTCAAGTTTTCAGACCTTACTTCAAGTACCTTGAATTAGATAACACAAAATTCAATATAGTAATATTACAAAAGTTAAGCAGAAAAGTAATAAACTAAATAGATGATGCAAGTCAATGTGGGATATATGTATTTAACTGTTTTTCTTAGAGTGCTTCTACATAATGCAAGGCACTTACGCAGGTAATTTGATTTGCGAAAAGGACTATGTGGGTCCAGCGACTCGAGATTGTAACCTACTTGACCAGCATGCACATTATATCAACCTAACATGCCAGTAACTTGTGCATACTACTGACGCAAATAACCCGCATTTTTAAACCACCCTTAGTCTCTGAGTAATATAATGTAAGATGGCCTGTGGTTAAAATTAATTTCATAACACTCATCAGTTGAGTGTTAATTTATAGGACTGAAAAACTATTTAAAAAAAATATAGATTCAGCAGTAACAAAATATGACTTTATAGCCCAACTACTACAAACATTAACTAAACTAAACTAACTATAAACATTTTACATAAGTTCCTATATTACAAATAATTTTGAGACATCCAATAAAGAATCTTTTAATTAACATTACTGTTTTTTTTAAGTTATTTCACATCTCAATTTATTTTTGAGATGACTTTATTTGAATGAATGATTACCTGTTTAAATTGATTGCTCATAGAAGCCAAACGAGACTGTAATGCTAGTACAACACTAGACGAATGACTGTGCATACTCCGACGACCCTTCGGCATCTCTCCCAGTCTGGCAATTTGTTGATTTAGGGAACCCAAGTCTCCTTTTATAATATATGTCAGTTCTTGTATCTCAGTTGGCCGATCATCAAATAGTGACTTCTTTTTGGCAACTGTAAATCATGTAATAGTATCTAAAACATGAACATTACTTTTAAAACTATACAGATTATATTATTCGATACTCACGCAGCGCCAATTTTTCAAGTTTAGCATATGTGCTTGTGATATTCTTGCTTATAACTTTAGCCATACTCATAAACTGTGAGTAAGTTTCTAATATTTGGGCTTTTCTTTCATCTCTCACAGCCGGTCTGACCAGAGTCCTGCCTTGAAGGCTTCGTACTGCTGATATAAATTCATTGGTTCTATCCCTAGCAGCCATTACAGGTTCAAAAACAAATTCTTCAAGAATGTCAAATGAAAAGTCTGCTTGCGCACTATAATTATGCTGTACCTCTGTATCTTGTGATTTAGAAAAGGGATTGAAAATAATGGAATTGTTATTAACTGGTACACCTTTTTTATCTAGTTTATTATAAGAATCAGAATCGTTTCTCAAAGGTGTTCGCTCTGTTGCACCTCCGATATTTCGCCGACGAGGGAGCATCGCATTCTATAATAATCGTTCAAATGAGATATATAATGAATGTCCACAAAATTAACTATAACTAAATTATTGTTAAACAAAACGGTTTTACTATTGATAAACTGCAACAACGATCACGATAATTAGTATTTGGACATGACAGCCCAGCTGTTTACTCATGATATTAGCGACGTGTCAGTTTCAATTTTGCGATTGGCAACTTGGTACCTACTAGTGATGAAAATTATTTTAAGGTGATGGTTAACACTTAACAAATGATTGTGATTTTATTCCATCCCTAGTACCTAGTAAGTGGAATTACATCACAATCACCTATTATATGATTTATACATTATACATATGATTTATACATTATATAATCACACCTATGACCAATTTACAAATCTACTGCCACTTATGATTATGATGACGCTAGCGCCAGACTCGCAAAAGGTCTTCATTATGTTCAAGATAACTTAAATAAAATGTGTAGAAGGAGGAATGGCGTTCACTTAAGGAAAAAACGCTGTATATTTTTAAATATTTATTTTATAGCAAAATTTAAAAACTGAACTAAATCTTTGATTCAACATCAAGATTTTGATACCAGACTGTTATAATCTTTGAAATATTATCATTCGGAAAATTTAAAATAAAATAATAGGTTTGAGAAGACTTTTGGTAATGCTGCTCAGGCTAAGGAGTAATGACCCTCAACAAGTGCACACAAGTGCGATCCATTTTCATTAAAACGATTTTCATTTCAATTTCATTAAACTCAAATTAATATTATTATTGGAGGTAGTTGTAATGAGTATTAGTAAGATTTTATCGTTAGGCACAAAAATCACTTTTTTTTTTCCAAATTCGTCGCAAACAATACATTTATTGTAATCTTCATCATCTACATTAATTTCATCATCATTATAATCGTCGCAAAGGTTATTTTCCTCTTCAGAAGACAAATCTTCACTATCTGAAGGACTTTCTTGTAGATTTCTTCTTTTGTAAGTTTTTCGGTTCATATTCTTATTTTCTTTAACTACTTTTCTATCTTGCTATCTTTTCAAGCTAGCATAGGTTAGTAGAATAGCGCCCATGGCGGAAGAATCTGTGCCGCTGCTACAAAATCAAAAATTTTGCCCTACGAAAATAGAAAATAATTCTGACAAATAACTAGTACAAATTTGGTCAGACTTTGAACATATTGACATAATTGTAACGTTTCACTAGTATATAGCAGAGGGCTTAGTGTGAGTTTATTTCACATCAACTCGCTTTCGACGGTGAGTGCGATTTGCGTTGTGATTGGTGAAGATTTCAGTGCGGGCCAATCGCATGAATTGAAATAAACTTACACTGGTCTCTTCAGTAGGTCAAGTGTGTCAAGTCGGTTCAAAATGCGAGAATCGGACATGACCAAAGAGCGAGTCGTACTATATTCTATTTTTTAACTGACGAAAAAACGTTTTTTCCTCAGGTCAGAAAAACTTCTTTTCGCAAGCTTGACTTGGGTAGTAAGCTGGTGAATGCGTGACTAGAGTGTGATCGGACGAGGCGAACGGAAGTTGAGAGGGAGATTTAAGTTAGTGGAGATAGAAAGAGAGAGAGTACCATTTCGTACATTACTGTAGGGGCAAGAGAGAGAGGTGAGAGCACACATTTTTCTTTCTCTCTTTCTCTCATAGCCAAGAAGTTTTACTTCAGTCATGTGGTCTAAAGCATACTCGTTTTTTTTAATGTATGATCACTGATCACGCATAGCTTTTTACAGAGTAGTGCGATTTTTTTTTTTTTTATAAGTGATGCTAGATTAGTACGACTTGTCTTTTAATCATGTATGATTATCTTATGTCGTTGCAGTTGACCGTCTGAAGAGACCAGAGGGCCGAGTGCAAGTTTATTCCACATTGAGTCGCTCTCGGCGGCGAGCGCTTTTAGCGTTGCGATTGGTGAATTTAGTGCGGGTCAATTATAGTGCCTAACACGGTTACCGTGACGATCGAGTAGATGTAAAATAAACTTGGGCCTCAGCGAAAAGTTAAAATTGGGTTCAAAAATTGGATCAAATTATAGTTATTTTGTCGAAATATTTAATACTTGATCAAGGAGAAGAAAGAAGGTTTAAACCAATTCGTTTTAAACGAAAAAAAACGAAATAAACCAATTTTTTCGATTTAAAACGGTTGGTGTTTATGACTATGTTTTTCTTAATTATAACTACATTTTCTTGATTTTACCAAGGTACGAAGTACCTATAAACTTTATAAAGATTTTTTGTATGTGTGATATACTAATATTGATAAACTTAGCGGGTTTAGTTCTAGTTGGTCCGTCCGTACCTAACTTATAAAAACTCTATTGATAAGTTAACAACTCTGTATTGGTAAATAAACATTTTTTTCATTGTTTTCAAATGAAATAAATAATCAATTTAATTCGGTTTAAAACCAAACTCATACTCTAGCACTCGACGGCCTTGAAGACATAATGTTGTCTCTTTCATGCGCAAGTAAAGCGGACGGCATTGTGTTTATGATGTCTTCTAATCTAGTGTGTGTAATATAATATAATAAATAAGTATAGGTAGGTATACCTACTTAATTAAATTTTCGTGTAGTAGGTAACGTAGGTGGGTACTTTCTTTTGAATTTCTATTAAAAGTTTAAACGAAATATGACGTTAGGTGACCAAAAATTACCCACAATGAAGTGTAAAACACAGTTTTTTTATTTTTGTAGGCGAGTTTTCAACAGTTCAAATCGATTTATTGTGGGGTTTAAAACGGCAACATTATATTTAAAACGTTTTAAATCGGTTGTTTTACATATACTCGTATGGCCCAGACCAACTCAATCGGGTTTAGCTTGCAGAGGCAAAACAGTGATACCCTGTTTAGCAGTCATCTCGTCGATGACACACAATTCCAGTTAATTCTGGTTTTAACATTGTCTCTTCATATGGAATATTTTTTGATTTTAGCCACTCTTGAATTTGCCCTTTTCGCTATCTAGAAGTAGGTCACGATTCCAGTTTCCTGGTGTGATACTGAGCATTATCTATTAGAAGAACTGCTTTATCTTTTAATTTTTCGGTATTTCTACCGATATGGGCTCTGTTCTACCGAAATACCGAAATATAACGATTTTTCTACTATTTCAGAGTATACATGGCAATTCTCCCGATTTTTCTACCGATTTTACACTTTTAAGTTGGCAACCCTTTTCATTTATGTTTAATGTTACGGGGAAGCCCCTAATAGTACAAACCTAGTGCAGAATCGGGTTTCAGAAACTTTATTCTCATTAAGAATAACATTCACTTACATGAGAACATAATTATACAATTAACAATATATTTATATGGAGCGGCAAATCTAAGTAGTTAATACAAAGCAAGTAAAAAATAAATAATTAACTTCGAGGGTAAGTGTGAATACTTTGGCAAACTAAAATATTGTAGAACTTGTTCTGTTATCGCAGAGTGCAAAGATCAAGGGTAGCTAGATGTGGTATGCATGGTGTGTAATTAATTTGTGGAGCGTAGTCTAGTATAAGTTCATTTGATGTTATTTATTACATGATTTTTTAATAAAAATTTATACATTTTGATGTTCTTTGCTTCTTTGATAAGTTTTGGTAGCATATTATACATTTTTGCTCCCTGATACAAAATAGTTTTACTCCCGTAGTTTGTCCGGGGTTTTATTAAGTTTATGTTATTTGCAGACCTTAGTTTAATTTTTTGTGTTAATGTTTTTTTACTAAAATTTATTTGTGAGTGTATAGTTTTCGTGAGTATTTTTCTTACTAATATGCAATTATAGTAGTGATAAGTTTGTGATAAATTCATAATTTTGGTGTCTTTATAAATTTTTAAAGAAGGTGTCTGGAAATCATAGTTAAAAAGCCTTTTCATTAATTTATTTTGTGCGATCTGTAGCTGGGCCAAGTTAGTTAGGGCAGCTGTGCCCCAGATTTCTATTAGATAATCTAGGTGTGGTTTAATTAAAGAGTTATAGATGGTATAGCGTATTGGACGCGTGATACATTTTGTGACATTTTTTAACATTCCCATGAGGGAAATAAGTTTCGATTTTGTTTTATTAAGGTGTGGTTTCCACGTTAGGTGACTGTCCAAAATTAAACCGAGATATTTCTCCTGATCTACTTTATTAATGGTTATATTATTTATAGTAAGTGGCCTAGGATGCAATATTTTTTTGTTTTTAGCTGAAAATATCATGTAATTTGTTTTTGATGTATTAATTGTTAGGAGATTATGAAGAAACCAATCGTTCAAGCGATCCAAATCTGCTTGTGCATCCGCAATTATTACTTGGATTGAGTTGCCAAAGTAAAACAAGCTTGTATCGTCAGCATAAAGTGTTATGTCCCCTTTTAAACCAATTTCATGAATACTGTTTATGTAAACAAGAAACAGCAAGGGTCCCAGGATGGATCCTTGGGGTATGCCAAACGTTACACGCCTAGGAGAGCTTTGCGCCTGACCAATTTTAACAACCTGACACCTATTTGTAAGGTAAGATTTAAAGATATTAATAGCGGACCCAGTAATACCAATATTAGTTAGCTTTTGTAGCAACAAGGTGTGACTGATTGTATCAAAAGCCTTTTTAAGGTCGACGAAAATACCCAATCCTATTTGTTTATTATCTATATTACGTTTTAATTTAGTAACCAAATCCACTGTAGCCGATACTGTATTGGATTTCGGCCTAAAGCCATATTGCTTCTCAGAAATAAAATTCAGTTCAGTTAAATAGCGTTCTAATCGATTGTAGAGAATGCGCTCAAAAACTTTAGAGAGCACAGGGAGCACAGAGATGGGACGATAATTACTTGCTTCCGCTTTACTGCCCGATTTATATATTGGCGTAACTTTTGCAACTTTCAGACTGTCTGGAAAAGTTCCGGCTTCTAAGTTTGCATTAATACAATTGGTAAGCTCTTCAAGTATTATACTTGACACGCATTTTAAAGATTTTGTGTTTATACCGTCTATCCCTGAAGCAGTATTTGAATTTAAAGTGTGTATTATTTTCGCAACTTCAGTTTTCGTAGCCAATGCTAGTCGAATTAGTGTTGAAGATGTTGTTGGAGTATTTGTGCTTATGTAGATGGAATTATTGTTGTGATAGTGTTTGGGAATTTGATTAGCTAAGTCTGATCCCACGTTCGAAAAGAAATCATTAAAGTACTCACAAATCCCCTCCCTATCCGTCACAGGTTTATCAGATGTAACAAGTTTAGTAGGTACAGCTTCTTCTTTAATTTTGTTGTTGGCGAGACTATTTATTAACTTCCACATTTTCTTTGGCTTATTTTTGCAGTTGTTAAAAGCAGATTGATAATATTTACTCTTTGTTGATTGTATTTTATTTGTTACGGCATTTCTTGTGTTTATGAAGGATCTTTTGCATGTTTCATCATTAGGATTACTTTTATATCGATTCCATAAGATGTTTCTGTTCTTTATTTCATTTATTATATCACTATTTATCCATTCCTGCCTAGGCGGGTTTAGTACCTTTATTTTTGTAATTTTACTCTTGGCTATACTTGCTTTTAATTTATTTTCGAATACTTGATATTCACAGTTTTTTGTTTCCTGTTTACTTTCTGCCATAAGTTTGTACATCATATTATAATTTATTGCCTCATATTTGACCTTAGATTTAGAATCGTCCTGGAACTTTTTAACCTCGAGGTATATGTGTTTGTGGTCCGACATAGGTGTATCAATGACGGCTAAATGGAATTTGTTGTCTTTAAGATTCGAGCACACATGGTCAATTATGGTCTTGGTAGTAGGTGTTTCCCGCGTGCAGTACTTTTCATCGATGTTGTTCAGTATTAGGTAATCGTTTTCTTGAAGGACTTCTTTGTACATGGTGGTTAAATGATCTGAATTCAGTAAGTTGAAGTTAAAATCGCCAAAGACAATTCCTCTTTTCCTGTTGTGAAGTTGATGACTGTAAATATCTAAAAAGTTTTTGGCGTTGATAGCTATAGGTTTTCTATATATCGCACCAATATCTAGCGAGTAGTTTTTTAAGTGTATCCATAGGTAATGGTCGTCGTGTAGGCATTTTTCCTCAATTAAGTTGTGTTTCAGATCATTACGTATAAATATCGAAACGCCACCACCTCTTGTGTTACATCTATGATTATAATAATGTTTGTAACCAGAGATCTGTATCCCTTTAGCTTCATCGGTGGACTTTATCCAGGTTTCAGTCACAATGATAACGTCTAAAGGATTATTAAAAGATTGTACCACACATTTTAGTTCATCTAGTTTGCCAGACTTTATGATACTTCGAGCATTTGTATAAAAGAATCTAATAGACTTTTTACTTGTCCTGACATTTTCATATGAATCAGATAATTGGTA